AAAGTCTGAGTGATTTGTGCCTGGTTTGCTATGCAGATGCTGCATTCAGCGTGAGGTCAGATCATACCTCGCAAGGAGGATTCATGATTTTGGCTTGTGAGAAAGGAGTCTTGCAGGGCCAGAAGCGGCCAGCATCCATTGTTGCTTGGAGGTCGTTCAAAGTCCCCAGAGTTTGCAGGAGCTCTTTAGCCGCTGAGTGTCAGGCATGCGCCACAGCCTTGGAGGAGCTCCTCATGGTCAAGACATTTACAGAATGTCTTCGGAGGCCTGGTGTCGCTTTGAAGGACATCAAGGACAGCCTTTCAGGTGAGTCAGCCATGGTGACAGATTGCAAAGCACTCTTTGACGCTGTGCATCGTGAAACGATTCAGCAAGCAGCAGACAAACGTGTTGCAATAGAGGGCTTGGTGATCAAAAGTTTGCTGGCAGATTTACATTGTCAGTGGCGTTGGGTTTCAAGTGAACGCCAATTGTCAGATGGCTTGACAAAGGTTGGAGCTCGACAGAACTTTGTTGAACGATACCGTGGTAGCCACATACAGTTGGTTGCTGATGAAGGGTTCGTTGCTGCAAAGAAGAAGTCAAAGGAGGAGCGAGCAAAGACGATCCGCGAGACTCGCACCACACGTTCTGACATAGCGCAGAGTTTGATTGCGCTGATCATGGCAGATGAGGTGACGAAGGCCGCTGCATCCACTCATGATGACTGGAGTTTCGGTAGCTTTGAGGCCCTCATTGTGTCGAGCATTGTTGGAGCATTGACATTGTTGTGGTTCCTTGGTCGGCTTGTGTTTTCGTGTTGCCCCACCAGAGGTGAGACACAGTCCAAGGCAGATGAAGAGATCGCCCGACTCAAGCTGGAACTCCATGAGCTTGAGGATGAAATGGAGCGAGAGCGTGAAAGCATCTTGAAGGATCTGGAGAGAGAAGAAAAGAAGAACCATGATTTGAGACAGGAAAACCTCCGGCTTCAAGGTGAGTTGATGTTGGCGAATGAAGCAGTGCAGGTGTTGAGGATCCACTACGAACCCAGACATACATACATACCTATAGTTTTGTGGGTATGTATGTTTCCTCAGACATACATACATACCTTTAACATACATACATACCTATAATTTTCTGGGTATGTATGTTTCCCCAGACATACATACATACCTATAATTTTCTAGGTATGTATGTTTCCCCAGACACACATACATACCTTTAACATACATACATACCTATAGTTTCTAGGTATGTATGTTTCCCCAGACATACATACATACCTATAATTTTCTAGGTATGTATGTTTCCCCAGACATACATACATACCTTTATTTTTTAGGCATGTATGGTATGTATGTTTCCCCATACATACATACATACATACCTATCATTTTCTAGGTATGTATGTTTCCCCAGACATACATACATACCTATAATTTTCTATACCTTTGACATACATACATACCTCTAGTTTCTAGGTATGTATGTTTCCCCAGACATACATACATACCTATAATTTTCTCGGTATGTATGTTTCCCCAGACATACATACCTATAATTTTCTAGGTATGTATGTTTCCCCAGACACACATACATACCTTTATCATACATACATACCTATAGTTTCTACTATGTATGTTTCCCCCGACATACATACATACCTATAATTTTCTAGGTATGTATGTTTCCCCAGACATACATACATACCCTTAACATACATACATACCTGTAGTTTCTAGGTATGTATGTGTCCCCAGACATACATACCTATAATTTTGGAAGATACATGGGGGGGGAGGCAGGGGATGCCTGCTAGATACCTAGTAACCTCCGAAAACAAGGTATGTATGTTACCCCAGACATGCATACATACCCTTAACATACATACATACATACCTCTAGTTTCTAGGTATGTATGTTCCCCCAGACATACATACATACCTATAATTTTCTAGGTATGTCTGTTTCCCCAGACATACATACATACCTTTAACATACATACAGACCTCTAATTTTCTAGGTATGTATGTTTCCCCCAGACATACATACATACCAATAACAGACATACATACCTGTCATTTTCTAGCGATCTATGTTTCCCCACACATACAAACATGACGTCATACACACGTTTAATACCCATGCGTCATACACACGCAGACATACATACCTGTCATTTTTTCTAGCGATGATGTGTCCCCACACATACATACATGACGTCATACACATGTCTAATAGCCATGCGTCATACACACGTGTAATTTTCTCGGTGTATCTGTTTCGTCACGAACATGCAGCAGCGGTGAGGGTTGTCACTCATAAATCGCGGGAGGGGGTGCGGAGCGCGCCCCTTCGCGCGTCGACGACTGTGCAACGTATGTCTCATACATACATACCAACAACAGACATACATACCTGTCATTTTCTAGCGATGTATGTTTCCCCACACATACATACATGACGTCTTACACATGTCTAATACCCATGCGTCACACACACGCAGACATACATACCAGTCATTTTCTAGTTTCCCCACACATACAGACATTACGTCATACACACGTCTACTACCCATGCGTCATACACACGTCTGCTTTCTAGGTGTGTCTGTGTCGTCACGAACATGCAGCAGCGGTCAGGGGTGTCACTCATAAATCGCGGGAGGGGGTGCGGGGGAGGGCACAGCGCCTCCCCCGCGGGGCGAGCGAAGCGAGCCCCTTCGCACGTCGAGGACTGTGCAACATATGTTTGATAACCTATTACTACCCCTGCCTCGAATGATGCGACGCCTCGGTCTGGGCAGGGCCGGGTATGTTTCCCCAGACATACATACCATACACACCTATCATTTTCTAGGTATGTATGTTTCCCCAGACATACATACATACCAATAACAGACATACATACCTGTCATTTTCTAGCGATGTCTGTTTCCCCACACATACATACATTACGTCATACACACGTCTAATACCCATGCGCCAAACACCATGAGACTTACATCCATTCATACAGACATACTTCAATGCCCCCTCCATGGTCACGGGCCCTCACAGACATACACGCACGCATGCATACATACATACGTACATACATACCTGCCTTGGGGGGGGAGGTCACGGAGAGGAGCATGCTTCATTGTGTGAGACAGTCCACGTTCATGTATACGCACATCCCGAGAATGCCACATATCTCTCTTCCTCCTTATACTGCCTTCAAGGTCAAGGGCGTGATTGTTGCAGGGAAAATGCATACTTGAAGGTAATCTCTGTTTGGCCGACATACCCATACCTCCTCGGTGTGTGTTTCTGGGAACGGATATACATTAAACAACTAACGGTCTGTATCTGCATGGGAAACATACATACCGGAATATTGTGGGTAGGTATGTTTCTGCGAACCATACATATTTCAATCTCACGGGTATGTATGTTTCTCAGACCACGTACATACCTCCAAGTCCTAGGTATATATGTTTGTGGGACACAGACATACCTGGATAATAATGAGTATGTATGTTTGTGGGAAACATGCATACCGAGACACTCATGCGTATGTATCTTCCTGGGAAACATACATACCTCAAACTGGGAGCCCTGCGAAACACACAGACCTCGCTTTTTACCTGATGCTATGTCTCCGAGGAACACTCATACCCGTGCTTTTGAGGTCTGTACGTTCGGACAATACATACATACATACATACATGCCTCTTCTTTTCTAGGTATATATCTTTCCCCAGACATCCATACATACCATACATATCTCTTATTTTCTAGGTATGTATGTTTCCCCGCCGGACATACATACATACTGGGTATGTACGACTCTTCTATGTATCCGAGAAACGAACATACCCGTGCTTTTGAGGTATGTACGTTTGGACCATGCATACATACATACATACCTCTTCTTTTCTAGGTATGTATGCTTCCCCAAACATACATACATACCATACATACCTCTAATTTTCTAGGTATGTATGTTTCCCCGGACATTCATACATACTGGGTATGTATGACTCTTCTATGTCTCCCAGAAACATACATACCCGTGCTTTTGATGTATGTACGTTTGGACCATGCATACATACATACATACATACCTCTTCTTGTCTAGGTATGTATGTTTCCCCAGACATACATACATACCAGACATTCCTGTCACTTTCTAGGTATGTATGTTTCCCCGGACATACATACATACTGGGTATGCTTTGAAGGTATGTACCTTTGGACCATGCATACATACATACATACATACATACCTCTTCTTGTCTCGGTATGTATGTTTCCCCAAACATACATACATACCATACATACCTCTCATTTTCTAGGTATGTATGTTCCCCAGAAACATACATACCCCTGATTTTGAGGTATGTACCTTTGGACCATACATACATACATACATACCTAGTTGGGGGGGGAGGCAGGGGATGCCTGCTAGATACCTACTAACCTCCGAAAACAAGGTATGTATGTTACCCCCCTGGGGTTCTTCCTCTGAGGATCGGTGCTGTTTCAGGACCTGCAGTCATGACAGCTCCAGGGCCGATCTACGTGACTCCCTCCGGTGAATGCTGGCATCGAACTCGCACATGTGGTGGGTCGAACAGTGTCTGCAAAAGACCATGCAACAGGTGCAATCCTGGCTAAGCTGTCACCGATGTGAGTTTTCGGCACGAAAACCTCGAGACGATCGATGCCGATGTGTTGCATGTTTGTTTGTGCGCTCAAGCAAGGGCGGGCGCGCATTTCGCTTGAAGCCAAGACGGCTCGCCTCCCGTGAAAAGATGTGCGCTTGAGAGGTGCATTCGGTTCCTGAACTTCGTGTGTCAAGGGATCATTTGTTGAAATCAATTTTGCCACCGCCACCGGACCAACGTGATCTAAAACCGATCCCGAAGCACAAACAAATCCAACAACCTTAAACAATCCCGAAAGCCTATAAGCAAATCCAACCCTAAACACCACCAACCAGACTATTTGCTTGTTTTTGGAAGCCTCGAGGTCCTTTCATGCCAGCAGGCGCCGGCTGGTTCCTCAGTTTTGAGAGGCATGTTAGTTTGTTTGGGGCCGGTTACTTTTTTTAATTTGTGACTACATTCCGAGAAACACCACCAGGCTTGTCAAGTAGATCATGCTTGAAAAGGTGTTCATTAGACCATTGGATATGTTCATGGCCTTGATATGCCTTGATTGTACCAGCTCATCTTTGTGTCGTGTGGTTGTTTTATTGGGTGTTTCAAGCGGCTGCTATGCGTTCTTGGTGTCTTGGATCAAGAGTGTCCGATCTCACCACTTGGTTTCTTCTCACGTGTGATGATTTGAAAAACCGTCCTCGTTTTTGTTAAGAGCGCCTTCCGGAGCCGTTTTGGTTCCTAGCGTCTCGGCTGCTGATCGCCGCTCTGGGGGCTGCCTGCGTGCGCCCGCGATGGCTTCTCTTCCGATCGAGAGCTCGAGCAAAGCAATGAAGCGACTGGCAGCACGGTCGACGGTCCCTGGTGAAGAAACACGCAAATGGAATGACCAGCAAACTTCTCGAAGATCATAGAAGGGCCCACCCAAGTTTCAAGATGTTCAAGAAGGATGTCCCTCAAAGGGGAAACGGTTTTCCAAAGTCTTCCATTCATTGCCATTCGCGTTCTTGCGGAGGGGGATCCTGCATGAATGCGAACCTCTGCTTGTCCACGTCTTGTTTTGAGTGTGTGTGTGTCATGCTTTTGACATACATGGGTACTGTACTGTACTCCTTGCACATTCTTTCACTCCTCCTCAGGCTATGGGTCGTGTTCTCTAATCCTGGCAAGTTGTCCAACATCCAGGAATAACACACCGCGTGAAATCCTGATTGCACCATTCTCGTCACTCAATCAGTCCTTTTGCCTCTTGAGCTGATTAATTTTGTCCCTGACCCTTCCATGGCGTACTGAATTTTGCGCTTTTTGAAGCTGTTTGATCGTTCTCTCCTTTGCTTTGGACTTCGTGAAGCTGGCCCTTGAAAGAACAGCTCCTTAGAAGCTGCAATCAGCATGACGGAGAGTTTGCGGCATTCCCTTCTCCAATCATCCGGTATGCTTGCAATCTTGGCTTTCTTGTTCGACAAATCCTCCACTCAAAAACGAGGCTAAAGTGAACACCTTCTCGCTGTAGTCTCGGTGTAAGAGAGCTAATTGTTGAAGCAGAGAGCTAACATTAGGTTGGAGGCCATCGCCAAAAAAGGGGGAGGCCATCGCTTAACATAGAGAGATGGCATCGACGCTGTTGGCGAGCCGTCTCTAAGCATCGACGGACGATCGCAGGCTTTCTCCGTGCGAAACGTGATGTGCTCTCCATTCAATCCACTTCTCCTCCGGTGGATTCATACGCTTTTTCTTCAGTGCGGGCTCACACAGAAGTGCATTTCTGCCATCAACTTGTAGCATAAAAGGCCACTAGATGAGCAAGCATGGAAATTGACGGAGCATGGTTCCTCCTCCTCAATTTCAGGCTTCGACTTTGCCCCCATACTCGCCCATGCCTCCGAGCTTGCCCTCAAGCGTGACCATTTGAAGAAGTTGTTTGGCTAGTTACTAGCTTGATATCAGCCACGCTCCTCGACTCTCCACATCAACAGCTTCTGTCCTCTTCAACCACTTCTCCGTGTCCAAGAGATTGCAGGTTTAAGGTCGGCGATCGGTTTGTATTCGATCGGTTGAAATGTAAAGAGCTGGTGCCCCGCCCTGTCCACCCCGACAGTTGTCACCAACTGTCTTCCACTCAAGGAGTCTGTAGAAAGAAAGCGTTTCGCTATGCCTCTCAAGGCACATTCGCTCAAGTTCTAATTCAGAACAGAACGGCAGCTGTAGATCGCATGACCAGCGCAGCTGCAGACGAGTAGATTAGATCGCATGGAGGGACTCCTCACAACGAGCAGAGACTCCTTCCCACTCCTTCCGACGTGTTGTCCGCACCACGCCGATGCCGAACCGGGCGTGTTTTGCTTTGGTCCGGACCGAACGCATGTCTCGGCGTTCGACGCGAGGCGCAGTGTGCTGGGCGGGCTCTGTCGCACACAAGGATGTGCGTTTTGGGGGGGGGTCATCTCTTCATGTTATCCATCTTATTGGTGGAGGGAAAATGGGATCCGTTACTCACTAAATACTTCCTCCGCATGGTATGCACTTGTTTGTTTGTGATTCAGCAATGTAGTTGCACAGTTGAGTCAATACGCCTTCCCTCTCCAGCTTAGCACCCTCCAAGAAAATCACTGGTGTCTCCAACCCTCTTGATCAAATTCACACGGGTGTCGGAGCAAAGTGTCTTGAATGTATTATTTATGTACAGTGCAACAAGAGTTGAAGGCAACCTCAATCCAACTCTATCAGTAAAGCACTCGAAGTCTTCACTGACTCAACGACACACATAGTGCACGCTCAATCGCACACTTTCACCATGGCGCGCCGCCAGCTCAAGTAAGTGACCCTCCCATGACTCGGGCCGAAACACGGCATGTCGACATGTCTCGACCTATGACTCAACTCCTGGAACCTTAAGATTCTGGAGGAATCTTCACACAGTGGAAAAGGTGGTCAAAATGAATTCACTCCACAGCTTCATCACCATTTGTGTCTTCATTCCACCCATGAGGTGGTGTTGGGACTTCGCCGCTTGTTTCATCTTGCAGTCGTTGCCAACAAATGCGACACATGCCATCCTTGTTGAGAATGCGAGAACTCGTTCTGAAGCTATGGCAGTCATTGTAAACATGCCATCTGGTGCCACCTTCGGTGTAAAAGCACTGCCCCACGCGCATCCTCACGAGACGTGTACGAATCCTCAACAATTCATCACGAGATTCTTCGATCTCATTGCGCAGCTCTGCTGCTGTACGGTCCTCAACATGTAAATGATCTGCTGCCATATCGTCCTGATGTCTTTTGTCCTGCATATGCACGATCAACAGCACCATATGCCACGGCCGGAATGCCAATCAACAGCGGCACAACGGTCACAACAAAACCATAGCTGCCATAGCTGAAAAAGAAGTCAAGCCAAGCGTTTTCATCACTCAGCTCTTCAGTTTCATTCATTGCCTTTGCCCTTGATGCACTGCTCATTGCAACAAAAAATTGAAATCCTAGCTGCCACATTGTTTGTGTATCCAAAGGTCCGGGCTGTGGATTCTTGTCGTGACTCTTTGTCTTTCTTCTTTGCGGTGTAGCTGCTGATGCTTCGCACAATGCTCAACCAACCACTGCGAAGCATCTCAACCATCTGCTGTCTGGTGTGCAACTGCTGTCTGGTCCGTCGGCCAACATTCGTTCACTGCTAACCCACCTAAGTTCCGTCTTGAGACGACGAATTTCTTCTTTGATGCGAAGGATCTCTATTCCAGCTCGTTTGTCAGCTGAACTTCCAATGCCATCCTCCTTCAAGCTGTCGTACAAAGCTTTGGCATCGATGATGATTGCCGAGCTTCCACAATCTGCGGCTGTGGACTCTGCTCTTGGATCAAGGTCTGGCTCAACCATCAATGCTATCATCGATTTGACCAGCATCAATTCATCCATTGCTGCTGCACAAGCCTGACTCTCTGCACTGAGACTTGATCTGCACACACGAATCAACTTGAATGACCTCCAGCTAATCAAGCTGTATGGAACATGCTCACCCTTCAATGCTCTCTTCGAGGTCATCACCACAACATAACCTCCTTGGGAACTGCCGTCACTCCTGACATTGAATGCTGCATCTGAGAAACACAACAGACATAGGTCATCCAACCCATTGCACACTGCTGTCATGTTCAACTTGACATCCGATGCCTGCTTGCCAAAACGTAATGCTTTGTTCAAGTCTGTAAGGAGTTCAACTGTTGCCTTGTTGATGTTGGATGCTGTCAACGAAGTCGATGCACTCAGGTAAGGACACCCCTGGCCGGCTGGCCATTGCAAAGCACCGATGAGAGCTCGTGCTTTGGACACCTCGGCTGGTGTCAGGGAATCCTGAGCGCTTCTTCCTTTTTTGGATTGTCACTCGCACCACCTTCTTCATGTAGCCCTCGAAGTCAAGGCTCACTGTTTCACCCTTCTTTGCAATGCGTTCTCCACAGTAAATGATGTCTTCTTTCTCCTTCAATTCTTGCCACTTTCCAAAATCAAAAGCGGTCTTGATCTTCTGTAGAACTTGCACTGCTTCTTGATCACGCATGTTGACACTCAACAACAAGTCGTCTACGTGCAAAATGATCAACCCAACCAATGTCATGGCAGAATTGTACGTCATGTATGTGCACTTGCATAACCTGCGCCTTTTGAATCCCAATGTTCTCAACCTTTGATCAGCCTCACGCCATCACAACAAAGGAGCGTCACACAAACCGTAAGCTGATTTGCGCATCCTCATGGATGTAGGGCCTTTTGATCCCCACATAGCTGAACAATCTGCTGGCAACTTGACAATGATCTCACGATCATTTCTGTTGCACCGGACAGAAACGCTGCTCTAGAAATGCTGCTCTGCCGAAAATGGTCCACTGCAAAACTGGGGTCAATGGTCAATGCCAACAGAATCATTGTTGATGTCTTGTTTGCTGTTGGGGATGCTTTCTCCAGGTTGAGGCAATCTGGATCCTCATAACCTCTGAGGACAAGTCTGGATTTCTCACTTTTCGCTGGAACTCACCTTTCGGAGGCTTCCACACCAACACCCATCTTGCGGAAATCATTCTGCTCCTCTCCCAGCTCAGCAAATTCCCAAACTTTGTTGTCAAAGTATTGTCGTAGTTCCTGTTGTTTTGCCTTGATCATCTCTTCTTTTTCAGCCAATGTCATGCGCTTCTCACTCACCTCTGCCTCTGCTAAAAATGCTTCATCCAGTTTCAAACTCACCATCAATGAGTCGCCAGCCTTTGGGTAATGTGCCGGCTTCCATCTCAACGATGAAGGCGTCATCAACAAAGAGATCCTCATCACTGTCTGGAACTGGAATGCTGCTTGCATTTCTCGCACGCTTCAATGCCATCTCAGAAAGGTCTCCTTCTGCTTCTCTTT